CCTAAGTCCATCTTCCTCGCATGACTTGGTGCGGTAGACACCAGTTGTGTGTTTTATAGTGGGCCGTAAGGAGGATGGCAGTAACCTTGGCTGCATGCGTTGACATCTGCTGCTGGCTTATCGTTCCATGTGATGCCTGTGAAGCCTTTGAGGTCAGTTTCTTGGTCAGCATTGGCTTGGGCCAACAGCTGTAATTGTCCTGGATTGGCATTAGTAAAGGTTTCCACTTGGGCATTAGCAATGCGTCTTAATTGGGGCAAGCACTGGGTACGACAGACATTTCTACCCATTCAGGTCCACTCTTGCACACAAGGATTGATGCGTTGGGCACATTGGGCAGAGGGGACATTAAACCACTTAGCCTGCAGGATAGGCAAGGGAGGAGAAACCTGTTGGCCTTTCACATTTGATGCAATCTTTCTGCTGACAATTACGTGTAACAATCTGAAGTATAGACCAGATGCAGCGTGCATCGTATAAAAGCACTCACACTCTCGCCCTCGCTCACACTCCCCCTCGCTCCCTGTCTCTCTCTGGTTATGAAATCTTCAATTTGTAATTCAATTTGGATAAACATTTGTGAAATATGAGTCGTTAGCAATTGTGTCTCCCTTAAGACTCTGGAGCATTGCCAATGATGCTGCAGCCAAATGAGAAGTGATGCTTGTGTACACAGCAGAAGCTTTCAGCACCAAGTGTACCTTTCCTTACAATCAAAATATGATGTGGAGGTGCCGGTGTTGGACTGGGGTGGACAAAGTCAGAAGTCACACCACATCTGGTTATAGTCCAACAGGTTTATTTGAAACTCCGAAAGCTTGTGATTTCAAATAAACCTGCTGGACTATAACCTGGTATCGTGTGACTTCTGACAATCAAAATGGTTTGAGTTGTCAGAGGTTGTTTTCCAGTCGGACAGCTGCCACTCTTAAGGGAAATACCTGACAGGCAACAAAGCTACTTGCATTGTCCTGTCCAGCCAATACATTGGTGTTAACATGGAATGATCACCCAGAGTTTGCTGGCTGCGTTGCTTTGTCTCTCGCTGTGATCGTTGACTGAGGGTATTGGTTATATGAGACAACAAACAATTAAAAGTGCTTGTAATTATATAAGTCTGTCCCAAAGCTCTTTACAGATAATTAAGAAGTTGAAGCGCAGTCAACGTGCATTGTAGGCTCCATAAACAACAATTACCCATTTCTCAACTTTGATAATATTGGTTGAGCTAAATATTGGCCCAGAACGCACAATTGCGCCATAGGATCTTTCCCGTTTACCTGAGAGAGGTGATGTGTAATCAGTTTAAGTTTTCAGCCTAGAGGTAGAATACCATTCCCCCAAGTCCTGCACTTTCAGTGCTCGTCTAGGTGATGTACTTTAATCCCTGGATAGAGTGGAACTTCAACTTTCCCGATGAAAGCGTTATCAGCTGAATCACAGTTTAGAGACTGGTATTGATGCCAAAATATTCCCCCAGTGTATTTCTCAAGTTTCTGGAATGGGAGAAATATCCCCTTTTCCTGGAATGATCAGGCCTTCCAGTTTTGCATTAAATATCCCCGAGTCTCGACAACTTCCTAAAAGTAGGTGAAACCCTGACACTTTTACAACTTTTTCCTTTCTGTGCCAAATATAAACTGGGTCTGTTGGGGGGGGGGGGAAGAGATTTAATGTAAAATTTTGCCCTCCTTTTCCTGTACAAACCCTTGCACTATTCCATAGCAGACCATAGTAGACAATGTAGATGGTAGCATAAAATTACAAAGCGGTATTGAATGGGCAAAACTGTGGCAGATGGTGTTCAATGTGAGCAAGTGAGAGTTTATCCATTTTGGGCTGAGAAAGGATCCATCAGGATACTTTCTGGATGGTGTGACGTTAAGTACAGTGGATGGCCAAAGAGACTTCGGGGTTCGGGTGCTCAGGTCTTTAAAATGTCACAAACGGGCACAGAAAATAGTTAAGAAAGTTAATGCAGTGCTGACCTTTCTATCTAGTGGACTGGAGTACAAGGATGCAGAAGTTATGCTGCAGTCATACAAAACCCTGGTTAGACCCCACTTGCAATACTTTGAGCAGATCTGGGATCACACATTAGGAAGGTTAGATTGATCTTGGAGGAAGTACAATGTAGGTTTACAAGGATGATACCTGGTCTTCAGGGGTTAAGTTATAGGGAGAGATTATATGAATTAGACTTGTTTTCTCTCGAATTCAGAAGGTGAAGGGATTGATCTGATCAAAGTCTTCAAGCGGTTAACAGGAAAAGACAGGGCAGATCAGGATAAGCAATTTCCACTGGTTGGGGATTCTAGAACAAGGGAGCAGAGTGTTCAGGAGAGATCTTAGGAAGCACTTCTACACACACAGGTTGGTAGATGTTTGGAACTCTCTTCCACAACTGGCAGTAGATGCTAGATCAGTGGCTAATTTTAAATCTGAGATGAAAGCTTTTTTATTAAGCAAACACATTAAGGGATATGGGCAGTAAGTGGAATTAGGCCATGATCTCACTGAACAGCAGAGCAGGCTTGAGGGGCTGAATGGCCTAGTCCTGTTCCTACGATCCCTTCTCCCTCAATGCCCCTTTTAACATCTGCAAGCGAGTTGGCACATCCTTCCGGCACTGTTGCTGATGAACCCTTTTTAAAACGATGAATGGGGTCACATTGCCACGTGTCTAGACACATTGCTGCAGATGGTGTTATGCAGCTCTCTATCTTTAAACCGGCCCTGCCTCAGCCTCCAGCCATTGGCTTCACACTCCTCATGGAGACTCACCTTCCCATAGCTTTCTAGTAGGTTCCAGTTTTAACATTTGTAAATGTGGTCACCCTACGTTGTTGTGTTTTGCGATGAGCACCGTGTGAAATTGGCTGGACAATGGGGCCATATCTTCTACACCCAGTCCTGGAATTCCCCTCCAATGATTTCTTTCCTTGTCTCTCACCTTTGAGCGGTTAAAATGCATGCACTGGAATGTCAGTTTGTAGTCACTATCTGTCTTGCAATTGTCCCCAGTTTATTCAGTCATGAGCCTTCGGATACAGGCAGCAAACAGCAAGGTCACTCTCGTTGTCCATTGCTGGTTATCCAGGGAGAACGTGGTTCTCAGAGTGAGAACGTGGTTCTCAGAGTGAGAACGTGGTTCTCGGAGTGAGAACGTGGTTCTCGGAGTGAG